ACTCACCAACTCCAATTGGGTAACATGGAAGCCAAGGATGGAGGACATTCTCTATTGCAAGGATTTGCATGAGCCAATTGAAGGAGATGCCGCTAAGCCCGAGAGCATGTCCGATGCCGAGTGGAAGAAGATGAATCGCAAGGCTATTGGCACAATTAGACAATGGGTGGATGATAGTGTTTTTCACCATGTGTCTAATGAAACCAATGCTCGCGAGTTTTGGACGAAGCTTGAGTCCTTGTTCGAGAAGAAGACCCCAGCCAAGAAAGCCTTCTTGATCAAAGAGCTCATCAATGTGAAGTACAAGGATGGTTTAAGTGTAGCAGAACACTTGAACAATTTCCAGAATATCATCAACCAGTTGGCTACTATGAAAATGATGATCGAGGACGAGCTACAAGCGCTCTTGTTACTTGGATCCTTGCCAGACAGTTGGGAGACCTTTGTGGTGAGTATAAGTAACTCTGCTTCTAATGGTGTTCTTACTCTTGATAATGTTAAAAATAGCATGCTCAATGAAGAAACAAGGAGAAAGACTTCTGGCACAGATAGCAGCCAAGTATTTGTCACAGAGAACCGCGGAAAAAGCAAGAGTAGAGGGCCTAGAGGTCATGGCAGGAGTCCTAGCCGATCCAAGTCAAAGTTCAGGGGTGCATGCCACCACTGTGGCAAAGAAGGCCATATGAAGAAAAATTGTCGAGTTTGGAAGAGAGAGCAAAGGGAAGGAAACAATCAGAAGAAAGATGATACTGGCAATACCACCGCTGTCATCTGTGGTGATGTACCAGAAATATTGTCTGTTGGTGAATGTCTGCATATGGGCAACTCTGACAGAGACATTGAATGGATCTTTGATAATGGAGCTTCCTTCCATGCTACGTCCAAACGGGAGTTCTTCAGTACATACAAAGAAGGTGACTTTGGCATAGTGAAGATGGGGAATGAAAGCTATTCCAAAATTCTTGGAATTGGTGATATCTGCTTAAGAACTAATCTCGGCTGCCAATTGATGTTGAAAGATGTGAGACATATTCCTGATATACGTCTCAATCTGATATCCATCGGTACCCTTGATCGACAAGGATATTATCACCATATTGGCGAAGGAAAATTGAAGCTTACTAAAGGCTTAATGGTGGTAGCAAAAGCACGACTTTGTTGTACGTTGTACCGGTCAAATGCACAGGTTTTGAAAGGTGAGTTGAATGCTGTGGAGGACTCATCTCTAGACTTATGGCATAAGAGGCTGGGCCACATAAGCGAGAAAGGCCTACAAGTTTTGGCAAAGAAGTCTCACATTCCCTTTACCGAAGGTACGTCGTTAAACTCTTGTGAGCATTGTTTATTCGGAAAACAAAGAAGAGTTAGTTTTTCTGTTCCATCTACAAAGAAAGGAAACTTGTTAGATCTTGTTTATTCAGATGTGTGTGGTCCCATGGAAGTCGAGTCACTTGGAAGAAATAAATATTTTGTTACTTATATTGATGATGCTTCACGAAGGGTGTGGGTGTATTTGTTGAAATCCAAAGACCAGGTGTTTCGGACATTCCAGGAGTTCCATGCCATGGTGGAGAGGGAAACTGGGAAACCTCTCAAGTGCCTTCGTAGCGACAACGGCGGCGAGTACACATCTCACCAGTTTAGAGAGTATTGTGTAAAACATGGCATACGTCATGAGAAGACAGTTCCTAGAACTCCACAACATAACGGTGTTGCTGAAAGAATGAACCGAACCATCATGGAGAAAGTCAGGTGTATGTTGAGGACTGCAAAGTTATCTAAGCAGTTCTGGGGTGAAGCTGTAAGGACAGCCTGCTATTTGATCAACCGATCTCCATCAGTACCATTAGGTCTTGATGTTCCAGAGAGAGTATGGACTGGTAATGATGTGTCTTACTCTCATCTGAAGGTGTTTTGGTTGCAAAGCTTTTGTGCATGTGCCCAAAGAGCAGAGATCGAAGTTAGACTACAAAGCTACACCGTGCATCTTTCTTGGTTATGGCGGTGAAGATTTTGGTTACAGATTATGGGACCCATACCAGAAGAAGTTTATCCGAAGTAGAGACGTGGTCTTTTATGAAGAACAAACAATTGGGGATTCGGATAAAGAGGCACAACCAGATGGCGCAGTCAGAGGAGTTGATCCATTAGCTTCAGATGAAGAAAGTCACAATGACATCCCTGAAGCAACTGCCAATGAAGTGCCTGCAGAATCAGATAATGCTAATCAAGAGGAGCCTGATCAAGATGTGCCAAACCATGAGATTGCTGATCAGGGGGAGCCTAGTCAAGAAGAGCATATTCAAGGAGAACCCAATCAGGGGGAGCCTCCAGCCCTACAAGAGAATGAAGATCAGGTCAGAAGATCCATCAGAAGTCGAAGACCGTCTACCAAGTATTCTTCATCAGAGTATATCATGTTGACTAATTATGGAGAGCCCGAAACATATGAGGAGGCCAGAGCTCATAACGACAGTGACAAATGGATGAAGGCAATGGAGTCGGAGATGGATTCCTTATCAAAGAATGATACCTATGAGCTGGTGGAGCTTCCAAAGGGCAGGAAAGCATTGAAAAACAAGTGGGTGTTCAAATTGAAAAGAGACGACAACATGACAAGGTACAAGGCTCGTTTGGTTGTCAAAGGTTTTGGTCAAAAGAAAGGAGTTGACTTTGATGAGATTTTCTCACCGGTGGTGAAGATGACTTCCATTCGAGTTATCCTTGGTATGGCAGCAAGCATGGATCTTGAGCTCGAGCAGTTAGATGTTAAAAACTGCATTTCTCCACGGCAATTTAGAAGAGGAGATATACATGGAGCAACCCAAAGGCTTTGAAGTCAAAGGTAAAGAAAATTTGGTGTGCAAGCTCAAGAAAAGTTTATATGGTCTTAAGCAGGCTCCGAGACAGTGGAATAAGAAGTTCAACTCATTCATGGTGAGTAATGGGTACAAGAGAACTCATGCTGACTCTTGTGTCTATATCAAACAATTTTCTGGAGGTACATTCATCATCTTATTGCTTTATGTTGATGACATGTTGATTGTCGGACAAGATGCTTCTATGATTAAAAAGCTCAAAGAAGAGTTATCTAAGTCCTTTGACATGAAGGACTTAGGGCCAGCCAAGCAGATTTTGGGCATGGAGATAATTCGTGACAGAAAATCCAAGAAGTTGTGGCTGTCACAAGAAAAGTATGTTGAACGGGTGCTTGAAAGGTTCAACATGAAAGCAGCCAAACCGGTAAGCTCACCTTTAGCCAATCATATCAAGTTAAGCAAAGAGTCGTGTCCAAAAACATATGAAGAAAAGGAGAAAATGGCAGTTGTTCCCTACTCTTCAGCAGTAGGAAGTATCATGTATGCAATGGTGTGCACACGACCAGATATTGCTCATGCAGTAGGTGTGGTGAGCAGGTTTCTCTCTAATCCAGGGAAGGACCACTGGGAAGTCGTTAAGTGGATTCTCAGATATTTGAAGGGGACTTCTAAGATGTGCTTGTGCTTTGGCGGTTCCAAACCAATCTTGGAAGGATTTACAGATGCTGACATGGGAGGTGACCTGGATGGTAGAAAATCTACATCTGGGTACTTGTTCACTTTTGCCGGGGGAGCCGTGTCTTGGCAATCCAAGTTGCAAAAGTGTGTTGCTTTGTCCACAACCGAGGCTGAATACATAGCCGCTACAGAAGCATGCAAGGAGTTGTTGTGGCTGAAGCAGTTTCTCCAAGAGTTGGGTTTGAAGCAAAGTGATTATGGCATTTATTGTGATAGTCAGAGTGCTCTGGACTTGAGCAAGAACACTACATATCATTCACGCACTAAGCACATTGATATTCGTTATCACTGGATTAGAGACGCTATCGAGAACAAGTTGCTACAGCTGAAGAAGATTCATACCGATAATAATTCTTCAGACATGTTGACAAAGGTAGTCACAAAATCAAAGTTGGAATTTTGCATTAAGGCTGCTGGGATGAACTCCAGGTAACTTGGAGTCATGATCGGAATTCCTCCCTCATGGACTGGAGGGGGAGATTGTTGGTATATGGTCCAGCCCATGATCAATGTTCTAGATTATTCTAGTAAGCAAGAGATGAGGCTGGAGCTTGCTAGACAATTCTAGCATGTTATTAAGTTGATGGAAGAAGCTAGAGAGTACTAGCTTCCTTGGTTGCAAATGGAAAGATCTAGAAGCTACAAGTATGTGGCTAGTCTAGATTTTTCTATACTAGAGGTTTGAAGAAGGAACTAGAAACTAGTAGAATGCCAAGCCCTCACCTATAAATATGGGTGTGATGTAACCAATTGAGAACCAAGAGTGAGTAGCAAAGGATCAAGTCCAAAGCTAGAGTTCCACTCCAAGAGTGAGAGTGAGAGTGTTCCACTACACATTGTGTGAGTGAAGTTTAGAGTGATAGAAAGTGTGTGTTATACTTTCTTGTATCCATCAAGCCTTGTCTTTGGCTTGGTAAGACTACTCTTGTTGTATTCATCTTTTTCATATAGTGAAGATTGATCCTTGTTTGGTGGACGTAGGCATAAATTGCCGAACCACATAAATTCTTGGCGTCCATTTTCTACTTTACCTTGTGCATTCTCTATCTTGTAGTACCGACATTCCTAACAATGCTCTCAGTTTTGGACCGGATAAAAAGCAATTTTTCAATCTTTAATTGTAACAGGTCTACCTTCTTTATGGCATCCCAGGCCTCTTAGACAAGGCTATATGGAGAGTCATGGAAGGCCACGGTGCATGTCCTCGTGAAGTCCGGACACGGCATTCATACAAAATTGTGAAGACTGTCATCCATACGTTGTTGTTATAGGCCGAAGTTATAGTATAGTTAGAGCTGTAAAGCCTGTGGGTTGTGTTGATTAATTTCCTTTTATAAAAAGACATTCTATATGATTAAATCAAGAGAATGTACGAATCCAAAATCACTCTCTTCCACACTATATTTCTTTCCCATATCGTTGTCGCTCTATATTTGTTTTTGTTCAGTGGCTACAAATCTGTTCTGCCGGGGGTGCGTCCCAGTTGGCAGTTCGCTTCTTCATTTGGTTGAAATCATGAATGCATTGCTCTGTCGTCATGCCTGCAACTCGCTTTCTCTCGGCAGCCAGTTTCTTCCCAGCAACTCGGTCAAATTTGATCTCCCAATCCTTTTCCCAAGCGTCATGGGCATCGCAGAGCTCAAGGGTGCCGTTTGCCCAGTGGGTCCAGCTCCACCCTTTGTAGAGAGACTGCATCACGTCGGCCACGCACGGGCCTTGGCATACGGGCGTGCAAGGCCTGCACTTGGCCCCGCTCAATGGCCCTGGGCTTGACAAGGACGCCACCGGCACTCCAAAGCGGTGTGGCGGGAACTCGTACTTGCGGTCTGTTACAATACAAAAGGGGAGTCGTTTAGTGACGTAAGGTACCCCTTGGATGGTGAGTTGGGCCTTGAAGGCGGTTTCGGAGTTTAGTTGGTGGAATCCGGCTGCGTCGAGCTGGGGAAGGAGGGAGAGGCGCGAGAGGGCGACAGTGGAGGTGTTGAGGTCGCCAACTCCAAAGCGGTCGTTGAGTCCGCCGTAGCTGGAGCCTGGTGGGACCAGGTACTGACCGGGCACGAAGTACTTGGGGTGGAGGGGGGCGTTCCAGTAACCGTCAACGCGGGTCGGACAATCCAATCGTAGGTGAAGTTGTTCTGTTTTTGGTAAGCTCGGATCATAGTTAGGCAGCCTTCCACCAGGTTGAAATATTGCAAGAGACCCTGCATATTACATTTAATTCATTTTAAATTTTATGAAATTAACACCGAGTTCCACATTTTATTTATCCAACAAAATACAATACCAGAACAACATGACAAGTTTTTATTTATCCACCAAAATTTAAGTTCTTAGTACTACGGTGTAGTGATATTCATATTCACGTGTAAGTGAGAGGTCTAAGGTTGAATTATTGTCAAATGTGAGTTTGAACTATATTATTACTAGTCCATTATAAGACTAAGACTATCCCTCCCCATTAATGTATATAATAATGTTTGTTAAAAAGATTAAAAAGTTAATTCAAGAATATTACTCTACAAATGATTTATTATTTATTATTTATTATTATTATTATTATTATTATTATTATTATTATTCATATACTGGTGGATCAGCTCAGCTGGCTGAAAGAGCTCAAATAAAATCATCTCTAACCAAATGAGGGTCAAATGACTTCTGTTTGTACCATATTTGACCAATCCCGAAACTACTGAGCACCGGTCAACGTTATACCGTCAAGGATCCATAAAAGTTTCCCTCCAACCAGGAGGCCAATCACAGCGCGACACGTGTCAACATCAGAAGCCAATTATAGCGCGACACGTGTCAACATCAAAAGCCAATCACAACACGACACGTGTCAATGTCAGAACAAAGCTAGAAATTCTCTTATATAAAAAAAGATCATTCTCCCACAATATTTCCTAATGTCATTTGTACTAAATCATTCATTAGTACTCACTAAAGGAGAGCTTGAACCTATGTACTTGTGTAAGCCCTTCATAATTAATGAGAACTTCTCTATTCCGTGAACGTAGCCAATATAGGTGAACCACGTATATATTATGTTTGCTTCCCTGTCTCTATCCATTTACATATTTATCCACACTAGTGACCGGAGCAATCTAGCGAATGTCACAAACTTGACACTTTTTGTTGTACCAAACTCCTCATTGATTTTGTGCATCAACATTTGGCGCTGTTTGTGGGAACGACACTTATTCCCACTCTTTTCAGCTTTGTCAAGCTGGTTTCCACCATTCGTACACTCTCTTTTGATCAGGCATCCCTCTCCAATATGGGGAGCGAATGAAGCCACGACACACAGAATGACACCCATCTTGCACCTAGGATGAAGCAACGAAAGAAGGAAGGAAAGAAGCTGCTATTCAAGCTAAAGTCGAGGAGCTGGAGGCTCAGAACAATAAGATAGCAATAAAGAATGAGATCCTCCAAGAACAATATGAGAAGCTTTTCAAGACGTTCCACGAAACTAAGCGTACTTAAACACGCGAAGGTAACCTAACATGGAGGGTCACCTTCCTTCGACATGGGTATCCTTGATGAGGAGTGAGCTAATCATCAAAACATTGATCAACATGAGACTTCTCTCAACCCAGTTGCTTCGACCCAAAGCAGGAGAAGTGGAGGAAGACACCTCTTTGCAGAAGGGTTGGAAGGATTGAAAGCCGTTTATCGTGACTACCGAGACTTCCTAAAACAACGTCGAGAGAATCCTTTCTATATAAGCTCGAAGATCAATGACCCAAGGGTTTCTGAAAGACTTGGTCCCCTTCCACGACCTAGGCCAGCTGCCCATTTAAGGAAAGAACGACAGGTCCCAGAGGAACATGAAGGTACAGAGGACTCGGAGGTATTCCGACAGACTCACCCTAGAAGTCAGTACGGCGAGTCCAAGGAAAAATCACACGCTCCTACTCAAACTTTCTTACTTCTGAGAAACGATGGAGACTTACGGAAGAAAATTCCAGTGGTACATGACTCCACTCAGGACCCCATTGTCCTACAGCTCATTGAGGAAGTAAACAAGTTGAAGGTCGAACGTCAGGGCGAGATACTTGACTGGAACCAACTCAGGCATGGCCCTCTCACAAGGAGGATCATCGACACCCCATTCAGGTGAAGACAACAAAAACTTGGTTTACAACTCTATACTGGAAGAGATGACCTGATTGAACACCTTAACCTCTTTGAGTCCACCATGGCATATCAGATGCACACCGACGAAGAGCGATGTCTTCTCTTCTCTTCCACCCTCTCTGACGGAGCTCTAAACTGGTATTGTCGTCTTCCACCCGAGACAGTATACTCATTTGAAGAACTAAGGAAACTGTTTGTCACTCAACACATCTTCCAAACCTATCGAAAGCATGGATCCCTTCAAGCATAGCAAAACATTCATAAACATCACTCATGTCAGTCAACATAAACATCATACATTCCAACACATTCATACATAAACATCATACATCCCAACACATCCATACATAAACCAATTGTGCTTCGAAAGGGTTCAACATACTTTGTGTCATTCAACACTTGCTACAATGTGCCTCGGCACCTTGCCCTTATTCTTACCAACTAGGTGACAAAGGAACTCTGTGCCACCAACCAGGTGATGAAATGTACAACCCGTACTCTAATATTATTTGGCAACTTGCCGCTCTTATCACCAACCAGGTGAAGAAGGAAATTACTTTCGTGCCACCAACCAGGTGATGAATTGTACAACCAGTACTCTAATATTATTTGGCAACTTGCCAATCTTATCACCAACCAGGTGAAGAAGAAACTCATCTTTATGCCACCAACCAGGTGATAAAATGTACAACCCGTAATTTCCTTCATGCCACCAACCAGGTGATGAAATGTGTTACCCGTACTCTCTTTCGTACCACCAGCCAAGTGATGAAATCATCTCACCATTCGTTCCACCAACTAGAAGACGAATGGTACAACTTGTATATGAACTCCTAGAAATTAATATTTTAATAAACAGTGCTAGACCATATTTCTTATCATCTCAAACTGAGGGACCAAAAGATTTTAAGTCAAACATAACCTATGACAAAAAGTCATTTTCAACCGAGGAAGCCAAAGGACTATGACACGTGTCTGAGTTATTTGTACTGCCTCTTAGTCCTCCTACCTTGTATTTTACGAATGCATTTTGATTTTCTCTCTCCTAAAACAATTTAATTACTAATTAGTAGGTGTACGCACGTAGCTCATACCAAATTAATTGAAAATGACAAACACATAACAAAAATGGCAGCAGGAAGAACTAATTGTTGTAAACACGTTATTCTTCCCAAGGATTTTCCATTGACAGAAGGAGCAAGACGATACGATACAACGATTAGCCACGCTCCCTTTATCTTCTTCATTTATGGTTAACGAACCAAATTAATTCAATCCGACCATTCCATAATATCGTAAAACTGAAATATAATTAATATAATGTTTATTTAAAAAAATTAAAATAACAAAAAAATGAAAACAGAATCAGGAATTGAGAAAGAAAGAGGAACCTGGATGCCATTGGGCGAGTTGTTGGCGGTTAGCACTCGGTCTCGGGTATCCTTTTGGGGTGGAAGATTTTGACAGCGGCGATCCTTGGAGCCGACTTGAGGAGCGAGAACTTGAAGGCGTTGGGGTTAACAGGACTGTGCAAGAAAAGATCGGAATTGAGATATTTGTTGAGAATCTTGTCGAGGATGGACGGCCCCGTGAGCTCGAACTTTCGGGCCCCACCAACCAAGCAGATGGCGATTCTGGAGTGACCCAATTCATCATCCTCCTTCTTGTTCAATGACTGGGTCCGATTTTTATTTTAGGTCCCCGTTGCCGTTGGTGAAGAAGTAGGCGAAGCAATTGGAGTTGAATTGAAGTTGTTGGGTGGCACCAGGAACTGGAAGGCGCGACCGTCGCGAAAGAAGGATCGGATGAGAGCAAAAGGGATGTTGGTGGGAGAGAAAAAAGAAAGAAAGATGAGAATGACAGGAAGAGTATTAGAGAGATGGTAAGGATGAGTAAGAGAAGCATGCGCCAATTGAGATCGGAAAACCATCTGGCAAAATAAACGGTCATCCTGTTTTCGAGGAGGAGGATTCTCCACTTCACCATCTCATTTGATTAGATATCTGTTGCTGATGATGTTGGAGCTTGGATCCAAATCCAAATAGTGCCCTCAGCCTCAGGAAATTGAAATTGGGACGGGATGAGATGGGGTGGGTGGTGACTTTGCGTTTACTTCTTTTTTTCTTTCTCTCTCGTTTGATTTTGATAAATGGTTTCCTTTTCTTTTTCCGTTTCCTTTTCTAACTTTGTTTTTAGGTATGGTCCGCGGAGGAAGGAAGATGGCAAAGACTTTTAATGTGTGTGAGGACGTATTTAGGTTTAAAGGGCGAGTATTATTAATTAGATTAGGATTTAGGAGGAGGATTATTAAGCAAAACGGTTTGACAATTTGTATAGATTAGGATTTAGGAGGAGGATTATTAAGCAAAACGGTTTGACAATTTGTATTCAGTGTAGATGGTAGATGGAAGAAGCAAGCTTTTCCACTTGGGTTTTCTTTCAATATCTGCTCTGGTACCTGCAGGCTCTTGTTGACTTAGAGCAACACCAGCCCACTCTTTTAGGTTGGCCCAAAGTCTAAAAAAATAGGTTGGCACCTAAAAGGATCCCGCTTCTCTGCCCTCCCACTTCGCATGCATTCTCATCCCCTTCTATTTTGTGCGGTCACGATTAAGCCACATCAACATTTTATATTGATTTTTTTTATAGGGATAATAAGACAAAAAACAATAGTAATTTAAAATGTTGACGTGACTTAACCGTGACCGCACAAATAGGAATAGATGAGAGTGTATGGGAAGTGGGAGGGCAGAGAAGCCAGGTTTCACCTAAAAACCCACTCCACCCCCCCCCCCAAATAGACCGGCCTAAAGTCCACTCTAGTCTCTAGGCCAACCCATAATGGACTAAGTGAGGATCCGGCCTATTTGATGTCAGCTACGGCTGAGTCTTTTTTTGCGGCTGGCGCATGGGCGCGCGTTCAAGCCTTTAATAAAAAAATGTCAGACTCTCACCGTGGGCCACGTGTCCACTTTTGGGATGTTGGATTTCAACATTTTTGAAATTCAACCGTCCAGATTAATTAATTTAGTAAAAAATTATAAAAATTGTTTAAAAACACAAAAAAAATAACAATTATATATATATATATACCTAACCATCTTCAAGAAAAAATGTACTTTCGAAAAATGACACGTGACGTGACAATATTGGTTAAAAATTCTATCCAAAATTAAAAAAAAAAATTATTTTTTATTATTTTATAATATAAAAAAATATTTTAATTCGATATACTAGACTCTGGGCCAGCTTATTTTTTAGGGGTGGAGATGCACTTGGTAAAATACTATTCATTGCAGTCAAGTACTATTCATTT